TTACCGAGGCTATTTGCGTAAGGTAAGAGATGTCCTTGAGAAGGACTTTCTAAGCAATATTATGTCATATTTAAATTAGAAGTGAAAAAACATCACAAAATATTAATATAGCCAATTGTTTTCCCGATTTGAAGGGAGTCATACCAAGGTTAGTAGAAAAACTAGATTAGGCTCTTTCTAAAGCTGACGTCACTTACTTCCAGAAGTGAGAGAAACAGAGAGAAAGTAGGAAAGAAGTTGTTTTTGAGCATAATAGAATTAAATGACGTCATGCAGTAGCAAATCAACGTAGTATAATAACTTTGGATTGGACTACCAGTGTTCATTTGCGCTCGGTTGTTGGGAAACGAAAATGCAAGTTTGTCTCTATTATAAATTTCAGTTTAATAGTAATTTGTCATGAGACCAATGTAATTATGGATTATATTTTTATTCCCATTTACCGCAAGTTCCTAACAAATAACTATTCGTAACATAACAATACGTCAAACAGAAGCAGAGATGCTCTCTGAAATATAGAAACAAAATATACAGCCGAAATCAAATCTTCAGAATTAAATTATTCGGGATTTAATTTAATTTCATGGAACTGCTCCTCTTAATTTTTAATTAATCTGAAAATTCTAATTAAGTCTTCCAATTTTATAACCACTTTCGTCTTAACCATCACCAAGAAATTCCACGAAGAAATGTACTTGGTATCAAGCATACAGAAAATTTGACATAAAGTGCTACTTTCAGTACCTAATAAATGAAATATCTTCTTTATTGACCATTTATTTTTATGAATAAGTACGAAGTTTCGCTTAAAACCCCTCAAAAGGTATTTCTCTTTTAAATCAGATAGCACTTGGGTCTTTGACTCTTTGAGTTAAACAACCAAATGAATTTCCTTTCAGGTAATACGTTTCGTGGGCAATTAACTAATATATGTATACCATATAGTATATTAAAATGACTTACATACTATTCTCAGAAGTTTATTGAAAAGTATCTTATTTGCTTATTTATTTAATTTTATTGAAGAACTTAATGCATATAAATATTGATATAGGTTATTCAAAAGGTGTGAGTAACATATTCCATTAAAGCTTGTCTTCATAAAATTTACTTATGTTTAAAATATTATCATCTGTCAGAAAGCTTTAAAACACTTAGGGAATCGCTGCAGAGCAAACAAGTTAAGAATATTAACATAATAATGAGATAAAGAATTGGAATTTGGATGTACTTCATAAAGTAGATAAACTGCTTTCGTTTATTTGACTGTTGATTAATGAATGACCAATATTATAATTAATATAATGAATATAATTTTTCTCATATTTTTAATTGATCAAACTTTGCCCCCTTTTTGTGTACGAGGCAATCTTTAAGTAATAATTTAAGTAACAGAAAATTCTGTATTTGATATATCAAAAATATAACGAACATTTCTACGACTGGAATTTTCTCTGTGAGTAACACATAAAGATTTTACTTTTTCTATTTTCAACACATTTCTATTAATAGAGCTGAAACTGATTTTGTAAAGCTCGCCACCTAACGCTGGAAAATGCTGAAATTGGAAGTACATGTCTAAGATCAATATTTAAGAAAATACAGCAGAGAGCTATATTTTTTTAACGCTCTGCATACATGTCTATCAAGACCGTTAAGCCACTTCACCACTAGTTTATAATCGGGCATCGCGGTTACCATTGCAGCTGCGAAGAACATTGCGAACGTTCAAAGACATATGCCGTAGAGCTCCTGTTATCCGAATGCAGACATTAAATATTCCTTAAATTATCAGGAAATTTTTCCTAGGCCAAGTAGGATTCCGTTTATTGTTAATGTAAAATTAACGCGTTTTAAAATTTTTTCATTACGTTAATTATTATAAAAAGATAACATCATACGTTGCATAAAGTGTTTAGACAAATTACAATTGAATTATCGAGAATTTTAGACTACCCAAATATTCACTGCCATCCCATTTAGATTGTATAGTTAATATTTTAAGCTAATTCGCTTTGAAATCAAAAGGGGATAAGAAGTCTAATATAAAATTTCTTCGTTCATTATTACGTCTTTCAAAATCGCTTGTAGTATTTTATTAAAGAATTTATTTGTCTTTCTGTGCGTTTCAGGACTTAAATAGGCTCTTGATAAGCATATAATTAATTGAGTGATAGCTTTTAAAAAATCATAGTAAAAATTAGTTTTGTAATGGACAAGGGAGTACATTTAAATTGCGATTTTATTAAAAGAATGCAATGCAACATAAATTCAAATAATTCAAGAGGTTTAAAAATTTAAAATTGTTTCCAGAATTCTATGAATTCTTCTGTATTCTATTAAAATTTAAAGTACATGTTACAGAATCATTAATTTCAAATCATACTGCAAAGTGTTCAGTTAAAATATTATTAATATATCTTATTCTCAATTGGTAAGTCCATGCTTTATTGGTTGGACTTGTAGTGTTAGCTTGAGAACATATAAAGTATTTTTTTTAAAAACGTATTCTATGTCATACGACTGGTAAGCCAATCTTGCTGAAGCGATACTATTTAATGTAATGTTACAAGTAATAGTCTCTCATATTTAAGTAAGAATGAAGATTTTTATCATAAAAATTCTTTTTTCTTCATAATATTAATCGAAGTGTACGTATGAAATCGTTATCCTTCTTACTTTATAGTATATGTTTTTATTTAATTCCTCGCAAAGCATTTGAGGTACTACATACATAATATACTTAGAATAGGATAGCAAAGGAGTAATATGTTTTAATGAGTTGATAAAAGCAATCCGTTGTGAATTCAGGGTTAACCGTACGACCTGTAATTCTTTGGGACTCAAGAATGATGATATTATACTGATCGAGGGTGGATATTCCCTCATTAATCTTTAAAAATTTCAAGAACTTGATATTTTAAATTACACCATTAAGGATAGCTGCTACGATGGTGAGAGTGTTTACATTATAAGACATAGCAATCATTCAGTTAGAACATTCTTTTCTCATCACATCAGAATACCCCTCCTTGTAAATGCTATGCAAACTGGTGAAATGATTTCAGCTACAGGTACAGTAGATAAGTGCCTACAGCTATATTTAGGTATCATCTGGGTATTATAAAGCATAAACAGTAAAAAGCATAAAAATTTCTATTTATAATACACGTCTTCAGTTCTTGCGAATATGAAGCGGACAAGATCAATAGTATGCTCTTCCGTGAGATAGAGCAGGGGGGGTGTACCAACTCGTTTGCTGCTATTTATTACCCGATCTTGTTTATCACATTCGCATCATTTTATATTTTCATGTTCCACAGACTAATTGATTAAAGGGGGAAAAAGGTGAGTCACGAAATGATAATAAATACTATTAATAATAAATATGTCTTTCTTATTTTATGTGATTTGATGTTATCTATCAATAAAACATATTACCTTACATTAGTGATCAAGCTTTCAGAAAGCTTCATTGTTGCCCATATCTGTTACAGAGGATCAAAGAATTACTTAGATGCAATATGAACTTACAACTAATTCGTACCAGAATCAGACAGACAGCATAATTTACCAAGGAAATTTGATTTCGGTTTTTATCAATGCAACACAAGGTTCAAATTACTACAAAAGAGCCTTTAATACGTTATATATTAAAGATTAAATCAAAAAGCACTTACAGTTTTGAATATATTAACATAGATTTACGTAGGTAATGCTAGTGCTGCTGTAATTTGATATTATTTATTGATCAATGGTTTTAAACTTAAAATTGCATGCATTTTGTATTTAAATCTTTCACTGATTATTCAATGCGATATAATTAACTATTATATGAAGATTAAGTTGCATTAAAAGACTCGATGAAAATTTCTTTGATGCAATATTGTGTTGCAATTTGGTGTTTTAATGCAATTTGGTGTTTGGTGGTTCCGTTCGCAGATTTTATGTCCCAGAAAAAAAAAAAAAAATTGCTTTCAGACTTGCACTCAAGCGATTTTGTAAAACAAATATATAATATATACGCTTTTAACTATTAAGTTGTTATTGTTGTTGTCTTGTCCATGAAAAAGGTGCTAAATGGAGCCGAAAGTCTGCATGATAAGCCTTGCCAGGTCTGAAGCCAATTATTAAGTCTTTTCTTAATAATACGAATATGCACGTGACGTTAATTTATAACGAAATAATATCAAACCATTTGTTTCGTGTTATTCATCTTAGTCATTTTGAAAACACATTTTAAATATATTTTCTTTGGTAAAATTTTTAATTAGTATACCTATGTTAATTGCTTATCTTAAAATTGTTTCAGGTGTTAAAATAAAATTTGCATAGTCAGATTTGTTCGTAATATCTTTTTAACCTTTGTTCGTAATATCTTTTTTATGATTATTATGTATTTAAATCTTTTAAATAACTTTCTAAAAACTATTGAACATTAATGGAACACTCTTTCGAGATATAGTCCGTAATCTGAAGCTTCCTGTTTGCAGTTTTATTTTTTATCTGCTTTGAATTAGAATAATTTCATAACACCTCTTTTCCAGTATGTTTTAATTATGTCTACGTCTTTCTTTTCGATCCAAAATGTGCGTTCTTGCTGTATTTAGAAGATAAAATGTTTAATTTAAATTTAATTAAGGTATTTTACTTTTGTGTTGTGTCAGAGTGAGCTATATTGAAAGGATTTAAGTGGTTTAATCTAAACATCATCATATTTGGGAGCACCGCTTATTTTGCAAGGCATTGTAAATAATGTCATTGTTGAAACTGAACTATGCAGATAGTCTAAGTGATGAGAAAAAATTAAATTTAGAATTGTTATGGCAGTGTGTAATCCTGTTCATGAGAAAGGAACGTAAAAGAGATATAAATAAATACACATAAAGAAGCATATTTAAACAAACAGCCATGACAACATCGATAATGAGTCATAACCATCTTGCAAACATGTCAAACATCGAAAGCAGTAGCAGAGGTAGGTTTGGTGAAATACTTACTTGGGTAATGCGGCATACCATTGGTGTAAACTTCTCCGCTTTGACCGTTTGCTTGAGGCACGCTAAAGGCGGGCATGGTAGGGGAAGGCAAGTTAGGGATACCTCCATTCACACTCTGAGTCCCCGAACCTACAACAGAAAGCCTAGGTCAATTTTGATGTCTTTGGTTCTTAACCCCTTAAGATTCAGACTTTTAATAGAACTGAAGAGAGAAATTACATATTTGTTTGTGAACTAGGAAATAATGAATAACTGATTCTTATCTTTTGATTGAAGCACTTATGATGTAGCATTTGTTTGTTTAAGCAATAACAGAATTTGTTTACTGTTTTGTTCTATCTGATTAAGCACAAAATGTGTGTAAATGATCGGAAACGTATACTTTAGTTTGTTGTTTTTTGAAAAAATATGGTTTCGTTCTGTTACGAGATAGTGGTTTTTGTAATTTATATTCATAATAAAAGACAGAACAAAAAAGTTATTCTAGTTACATTTAACGGAACATCCTAAATTCTTTAAAAATTATTCGTATTACGTTTGAACAAATGTACTGAATGGTACAAAAACTAGCTGTTTTGCATGTAAGTGGATAAAGTAATACATTAAATTGGTCGTGCAATGTTTAAATGAATATATGATTACTTAAAATTCAATCGAGTTACGCTTGATCTTAATACACTGAATGCAAGAATTTGTAATTACATTGGATTTATACAGTGAATGCATTTTTGTTAGTTTCAGTTACTATTAATAGATAAAAACCGATTAATACATGGTCGAGTTGCATTTAAGTACATACCTTGAATGTTTTAAAAAATGTTTTCGGTTGAGTAGTTTTTTAGTAAATACTTTAAACGCTTTAAACACTGATCCAATTATTTTTAAATTAAAAATTGAAAATTACTGAAAAATAGGTTGATCACCTTAAAACTGGTTATTTTCAAATAATCCTTATATGATCATCTCTTATGATGAAAGAAGGTTTCATTCAATTAATGGAGGATCGCTGCATATAATCTCAATTACTAATTAATAAGCATTATGAAAAGTTACAAAGGCAAATGTGCCTAAACGAAGACATGTCTTTTAGGAGAATATTGTTGCATCTTCAATAGCCGTCCATATAGTTCCAGAAACATAATCAAAAAGCTCAATTTTTAAGCGAATAATCTGTTACTAGAATTTTAATCTTTTTGAAATCAGAAAATGTTATAAGAAATGAGAAAAAATAACCTTTTTAAAGTCGAAAGCTGTCGCAAAACGTATTAAGTTTCATCTTATATAAGACTTTTTTAGTTTTTATTTTTATTATTATTATTGATTGGACTTTAAAAGCAGTTTATTGGAATAAGATTTTTTGATTGAAAAATAATTCTTGATAAAACAATGCATTGAAATCGCAGCCTGAATAAGAAGCATTTTAGATTTTATTTTATATTATATTAATCAACTACCATTTTTGTTAATTTTAAATTTGTTGAAATGAAATATTTCATCTCTTAAATAAATGCATGAGTAGTATGGAAATGCTTTCGTGAGTTTTTCCATAAGCAATTATCTACCTATAAGGTGGTAAACTTCTCAGGCAGTTTAATATATAAGCGGAAGAAGAAACTCCAAAATAGAAATTGAATTCATGCATTTATTGCGAAGAAATGGATTTCGAGGATTCAAAATAACAATGATTTCAATTTTCTAGTCATATGAAATACATTTAGCAATCTCATATTTCACGATGCAATAAAAAAAGGCACCAAATATATCGCCAAATATATTAGAGTTACATAATTTTACCTCCTTTTTAGGTTTGAATAAGTTTAATGAATAAAAGTTGTATTTAACTTGTTATTAGAGTAAAGCACAATTAAGTCTTCTGATATAACACTTAATGATATAACAGTTTTTTTATTAATTTATATGTTTTTTAACACATTTTTGTTGTTATTAAATGTTTTTGTGCAAATAAAAACGGAAGATTATTCAGAAATGCATGTCTAACTAGGATCTTCAAAATATTGTTATTAATATTATATGATGCAGTGTATAGTATTATTATTTAAAAAAATTAATGCTCCTAAGTATATTTAATGACTGCCAATTAATTATTTGTGTGTGTTTAAATAATGAACCAAAACTATTCAAAAGCATTTCGCAACAAACTTCAGTATAACCTACAGCGTATCTCTAATTATTTCCTCCAAAGAATTCATTTGGATTTGTATAATTTTTATGTATCTGAAACATGTATATATCTTCCTAAAACGTGATGAGTGATTATTCAGTATACTTAAGGGGTTAAACCAGATTCTGCATGATTCAGTACCGCATTTGCTTGTAAAATACACATATATATAAGCATAATAAAGTAGAACAAAAATGTAACACCAGTTTAATATAAAAAGTATGTTATTTTTTAAAATAGTTTACAACTACATCTACATTGAGATAGGAAAAATGTGTTAGATAAAGAGATTAGAAAGATTTATTTTTCCATAATTTGGAATGATTTGTGGATACCTTTTATTAAAAATACAGAAAGTAATTCTATATTACATAATATTGCAAATTATAATGTAACAAAACTTAATTTAAATGCTTATTTGTAAGCGCTAGAATTCTAATTTTTAAAATGAAAAAAAAAAAAAAAATGCAGATGTAACGGCTTAATAATACTCTGAGTTACAGAATTATATTAATAAAATAAAAAAAAAAATGAGTTAATTTGGACAAGAGAAGAAATTTTTTGAATTCTGTCTAATTAAAAACAAAGTTTTATTGAACATACAAGAAAAAGAAAACTACTTTGTTTTTTACGGAAGGTTAATTATAATAATTGCAGAACTACTATTAAATTCCTTCTGTACAGGTATATATTTATATTTTTTTCAGCTACCAGTGTGAAAATTGCTAGAAGGCATGCAGTGTGCTACAAGCATAAGTAATAAATATTTTCTATATTTTAAGAAGTTTTTCTAATATTTTAAGAATACTAAAGAGCAAGCAAATGCGGTAAGTAGATAAAGAGAAGCTGTATCATCTCTACATATTTTCAAAATGCTATCACAGATATCGATACTGCTTTATTACAGATATCGATATAATTTTTCATAGGCTTCTCTGCTTGAGGACTCTAGCTAACTAGGGTTAAAAATATCGAATAACAAAAGCCACAACATCAGTGCAACATCAAAAGACGACATCTAGAATATAATCAAAAAAATGTTACATATAATGCAAAAAAACACATAAGCAGCATGCAATTATTGCATAACTCACCCAAATATAGCCACTAAAACTGCCAAAAACATAATATGTTATCTAAAATAAGAACTTGGCACTATAAGAAAAGAATGATTATTAACATAAATATTATCGAACGTAAATAGCAGACAAGCTGTCTAGACGTAAAAGAGAAGAAATTTGTCTCAAGAAATAGAAGAGAAGCTTTTGATTTTATATTTTGAATGTACCCATAGATCTATCCATAGAGGGGTCGCCTTTCAAGTTTACCAGTCCAGAACATTTGAACGAATGGTGCTTTAGAATGATTTATGTAAGATGAACTCTTAAGAAAATATTGTCTCGTAATATTCTTAGGACTTTATCCTTGTGTTCAACAATTCTTTACACATAAGCAGGCATTGCTACACAAATCGAGCCGACTATTTTAAAAAACATTCTGTCGAGCAAATCTGCAGTTTAACGCTTTAATATAGTCCATATATGAAGAAGTTATGTTAAACGCATGATCCAGTAACCACAATAGATTGAATATTATTAAAACACAGGCAATTGTTTTTAAACACTTTAATTTTTAAGGCGTATGATTAACTGCTGACGAAAATTAGCTGATGGATTATACTGAGGGAAATTAGCATGAGATAACTTTTTAACAGTAATTAGTGAATCATAAACGTACAAATGTTGCCTATTATCTGTTACTTTAAAATAGGCTCTTCGAGGTCATGCAGATGTTACGGCTTAATAATATTTTGAAATTACTTACGATCATAAAGTAAATAATTTACGATCATAACGTATCTTGTCGTTATCATCTGGAGAAATTAGAAGATTTTAGCAAACTAGAAGACTCGACCTTCCTTTCGCAGCAGTCATTGTAATGGTTATGTATCAAAGTTTGAGGCAGAAAATGCCCTTGAAGTGGCTATTATAATGTAACATTGTTAATGACATAGAAAAAATAATTCAAATAATTTCTAAATAAGTTAATTTTTAGAAATTATTTTAATAATAAAGTTAATTTTTTTCAATTAATTAAAGGCATATACTATGACATATACTTCGCTGTGTATTAAAACTTGATTAGGCATATTTTGAAGGAGATTTTAAATGCTCATTTTCTTTATCGCCTATGGAACATTAAGAAGCTGTAATTGGTCTTTACTTTTTAACGCATAAAAGAATTGAACATTTTGAGCTTTAACTTCTGATAAATCCTTCACAAGATGGTATTATAACGTCATTGTCTAAGGTAAAAATGGTACAGGATAGTGATCTATTGTTCAAGTCACATTCCCTGGAGTATCAGTTTCCTTGTGTCCATTTTCATTATAAACATATTATTGTTTAGTTTACTATACCAATATAAAGTTTCAGTTCACTCAAATATAAACTGAGCTAAGCTCAGTGAAACTAATAAGTAAATTTAACTGATATTATCTGCGATTATCTATGTTCACACGTACCTTATGCATGTAAGACTAATCATCTGCGAATATCATTTTGTTGATAACTTATAAAATAGTCTTATCAACAGATAATGTACTTGCAGAATAGAAAAATACTTTTTCCTAGGCCACACTGTAATCTTATATCGCCTAAGTAAGTTACGTAATAAGTCCATCCCAACACGTAAATGTATTAAAATAACACTTAAATATTATACATATATATATGTTCACCCACATAAAAATCCATCTCCACATGTAAATGAATGTTACTTTGTTTCATGTAACAGTCTTGGTTTAAGCCTTTTAAGTCATACAATACAATTTCTTTCACAGGATTTCTACTTAAATATGTTGATAACTTCAGGAGAGTACAAATTACAGTAAACACCTTTAATCGAAAAGGTGTGTGTGTGTAAATTTTCGTCGGACTCATAATGT